AAAGCATTCCTATTTCTCAAGCGGAGACACTCAGGCGTGAGGCTCTGTGCCCAAGGTCATTGCTAATATATAGACCATTATGGGATTCATACCCAGGTCTGTTATAGTAAACGAGGGGCCCAATGCACAAATTCGTGCACCTTGAAAGGAACTGTGGGCTTCAAGGCTGCGGTGGGCACAGGGGCGGGTCTCGGCCCATCCTCTGCGCCCCCGCCCAGCCCCTCCCACCTGCCTGCAACCCCATTCCCCACCACTGCTGCTCCCACATGCTGCGAGCACCAGCCCGCTTGCACCCACTGAAGGCATGGAGCAATTGGGGCCGGTGCCAGCAGCAGGTGCGGGTGGGGCTGGCACTGTCAGTGGGTGCAAGTGGCAGCTGCTGCCCTGATCACCCCTTAGGAGCTGGGGGAGGTGGAGAAGCCCTCAGGGGCGATCAAGGCTGGCAGCAGCCACTTGCACCTGCTGATGGTGCTGAGCGATTGGGACTGGCACCGGCAGCGGGAGCTGGTGGAGCTGTCACTGGCAGCAGGTGCAAGTGCCGGGCGGGACTGCGACGCACGGGAGCAAGGAATTTTCAGTAACCACCAGAGGCTCGCCCCGATGACAGCGACCAGCGCCTCGCCTTGGCATCCCCCCTCACCTGCCCCACCATCCCACCGTGGCCTACGCCTGCCATGTTTAGCGCATGCCCCCTGGTGGTCAGCGCATGTCATAGCAACCAGTTGTTCGGTTGTTCCACCTTTTGGTCTATTTGCATATTTTCTTTTATTATATAGGATGCTCACTATGTACTTCCTGTCAGGCCCTGAGCTGTCACACAGCTCAAAGTTCAGTGAAACTAGCTGTAGATTAAATGGCCTCATCTGAACTTGGTAGGCCTTGTTTATTCAGCAACAGAACCAAGCAGAAGTGACAGCAGCAGCCCCCACAGCCAGGAAGCACAGGCTTCGGTAACATGCCTGCAACGAGCACGTGAGAACCCCCGAAGCCTGCACAGAGGGGCTGTAGAGCAGGTCGCAGTGGGACGAGGCGTGTAGTGTTTGGGAGTGGGAGCAAGGCCTGAGGAAGAAGGCAGCTCTTATGTGGGAAAGGCATCTGCGGCAGGAGGAAGAGCATGACAAAAAGTACAGCTCGTGTTCAGGAAAGAGCCAACTGTTTCCCCCCAGTCACTCCGGCATCCGCTTCATGCCAGGCCTCTGCTCGATACTGCAGGTGGAGCACAAAACTGGCACGGCTTCTGCCCTGCAGAGCTAATGGGAGGTGGCAAGTAACGTAGGGCTTGTGACAGGGGCCTGTGGTACAGTGGAGGGTGACAGTCTTATCAGGAGGAAAGTCCTCGCAGAAGAGATGTCTGTGTTAAGACTGAAAGGACACCACTTGTCAGGCAGGGGGGAAGCAGAGGGAGGAGGGAGGGGAACAGGATGGGATGTAAACATTCCAGGCAATGAAGCAGTGGAAGCAAAGACTTAGGCACCCAATGCCCTGGTGAGTGCAAGAAACCTTGGGTAACTTACATGGTCAGATCACTGGGGGAGCAGCAGACAGGAGCGGGTCATGCAGAGCCAGACTATGGAGCTAGCATTTTTAATGCTACGGCAAATGAGATGGTTTGGACAGAGGAGTCTCAGGTAGGAGAACACACAGCCATTCTAGTTTGAATTAAAAAGAAAAAAAGGCCCACCAACTCCAGCTGAGGCCCAGAAAACACACACAGGGACTGGTGGCAGCCAGATCCTGCGGGTGCCGGAGCCACGGAGGCTTCCGGAGCTGAGGAAGGAGAACGGAAGGCTGGGCTTGCCAGAAGCAATCGGCAGGGTCAGGTACCTTGGCGAGGTGCTGGTACTTGCGCTCTGGAATCACTGGCTTCCAGGGGAGGCTGCCCATGTCCGATGGAGGAGGAGTCATGGGCGTAGGGTCCTCCAGGGCATCATCATAGCTGAATGCCCGGCGGCTCATCCCGATGGGCAGGGACATCTTGCCTAGAGGCCCACTAGGCTCAAGAGCTAAGAACAGAGACACCTGTCAGGGTGGGTTCAGCAACTGAGCACGCTAACAGCTTTAAACGCATCTGTAGGCAGGAAACTCTGGGACACGCACTCTGGGACACAGCAAGAAAAGCTTGTCTGGAAAAGCGAATCCATTCAAGGAAAGTAACCTGTAGTACTAACCCCTGCCTTTATGCCTGGCACCTAGATGCTCCTCTGGACCCACTCAGCAGCCCTAATCCATTGACTTAGTTTAAACGACCTCAGCAAGTCACACACTTCAGTAAGTCATCAAAGTCCAATCCTGTCTCATTTCAAAGCTTTTGCTCTTATGCCACAGACTCTGCCCCACAGCACTACCACCGCTCTCCACTCACCGAGACTGAGGCTATGACGTTCTTATTCCCATTTTACAGATGAGGAAAGGCCTACAGGTAAAGTGATTTGCTCCAACTCACACAGCAAGCAGCCAGCTGGGGCTCGACTGCAAACCCTCTGCCTTCCCTACCGCACCAAAGAAAACAAGAGCTCAGTGACAAGAAATGGTTAAAATACGCTGCCCAGCGCCACCACTCGCTCCAGCCGCCACTCCACTCGCTCTGCTCTGAGTGCTCTGCAGGATTTAAGCAGCAGCGCGACTGCCAGCCCAGAAACTGCTGACAACCGTGCTGCCAGCTGATCCTGCCCTTCATCTGCGGGGCCTGACTGGCGGAAGGCCCCGCTGTGACACAGGCACCGGCCCCACAGCCCTGCCAGCAGGGAGCAAAGTTCACTGAGTGTTTGTTTCATGCAGAACTAATGTCCACATCCTGCCTTCACGTGACATTTTCCTGTTGCTAAAATTATACAATCACTCTCCAAAACATCAGCCTGTGTGGCACCAAGTCCAAAACGGGCAAAGACACGTCATTTAAACAGCAAGGGAACCAAGTATCTACCATTATTATTGCTATTAACATCAATAATAATTACTAATAAATCCCTAAAAACAGAAAGAGGATTAGTGGTTGCCAAGGGCTGGTGGGGGTTAGAGAGTTGGGGGAGGAATGGGTATGAGGTTTTCTTTTTGGAGTGATGAAGATGTTCTGAAATTAGATAGTGGCCACAGTTACCCCAAACACTAAATTATTCATTTTAAATGGGTGAATTTGATGGTATGTAAATCACCTCAATAAAAATAAGCCAATAATAATTACCAAATGCCCTTCCTTAACAGGCACTTACATCCCTCATCTTACCTTATTCTCATCAAACAGATATCCTTCCCATTTTCCAGCACAGGAAACTGAGGCATAGATTTTAGTGACACCCAGCTAGCAAGTGTGGGTGGGGCTAGAACACAGACCTAAGCCAGTGCTCACTCTACATGCAACACTCCATGCGCCCCACACTCCAAAGCATTCACATGACAAGTGCAGCACAATGGTCTGGGATGGTCACAGCAGAATTTATGCTAATCACGAGAGCAATGAAAGACAAACGGAAACGCAAGCTGATGAAGTCGAAACTAGAGGATTGATACCGGGATACATGGGAAGATCCCTATTACGCCTCTGAATTTGGGAGCGATTTCAAAAACATCTTAAGACTTCTCCCAACAGCCATCCCCACAGCTTTCCTAAATAATGATAAAGTCAGCTAATATTTACTAAGAAACATCCTACAGATTTTCTGGGCATTAAATGCATATTCATCACTAACTCTTGACACATTTTCACATATTTTATGTTTAATCCTTACCGCAGCCCTAAGAGATAGGCACTATCATCTATACTTCACTGATTACCTCAAATTGAGTGATTCAAATTTTGATTACAAAATCACTGCCCCTCCCACTAAAATAGTCCAAGGTGGGACCAATGACTTCAGTAACCCAGAAATGATTGCTGTAGAGACCCACGACTCATGAAATGACTGCTGTTTTTCCAGTTAGATTTTGGGTTCATTATCTTATTAACTACCCAGCCAGGTAGTTAATTAGTTAATAAGATAATGTTATTATCTACCAGGCTGGGTAGTTAATAAGATAATATTTAAGTGATGTCAATCTATTAAATCTAAATACTTTACTGGCCACCAAGAGTAACCATCAATATGTGGTTCAGAAAAAGTGGTTTCTGGCTAGCACCGTTGAGGACCAAACATGATTTCACCAAGAAGAACTGACTTTACCAAAAAGAATTAAGTTTACCAGGCACTTCTGATGGTCTCGAAGCCATTGAAAGACTACCTCCGGGTACTTTTTCTATATAGATTTCAGAGCTGAGTCCCTGCCACCTAATAAGAATAACAAAAAGCATTTTCTTACAGTGAACACCAAAGAATAGCCCCAGCGCTGTTCTTTTGACAGGCACACAACGCGTGTTATGGCTTGTTTACAACGCTGAAACAACACACATAAATGAGCCAATGGGTGAGCAACATGCCAAGGCAAGAAAAAAAAGATAATGTCAACGATCTCACCACACCTGTGGCTGATCTTAACACCTACGATAGGACAGAAACACTACACCTGGTGAAAAGGTCACCTTACCCGAGTGAAATGATGTTTACGCTGCCAGAGAGAGATTAGTGAGGAACATGGTCCAGCTGCTGCACGTGAGCTAAGTTCTCGGGAAGAGTCCATCCATTCCAGAGGTTCTAAGAACAACAAGCAAAGAGCATTGGGCCGGCCCGTCAGCACCTGCTAAACAGCCTCCTATACATCCAGGGGTTCCCCGGCCTGGCAGAAGGGTTAGAAGTCTGGTTTGGTTTGGTTTTCAGTTAAGTTAAGGCTCAGGGTTCCGCCGATAACTTGACCCCACGGCGAGGGGCTAGGTAGCACAGAGGGTAAATTCATTCTTTGTTGCTAACGCCGACTAACATTTATATGGGTTTTTATACAACACTTAGCTAGTGTTTGAACCCTTGCAGGAATCCCGCCAAGCGGGGATTGTTTATCCCCAACTTAAAGAAGAAGAAAACTGAAAACCAGGAGGTAAGTGATTTGTCCCGGGTCACAGATAAGCGGCCCACCTGCAAGGCAGGCAGTGCTTCCCGTTCGCCGGGGAGTTCAAGCAAAGCCCCGAGAAAGCAGTTATTTGCTTTTCAACTCGCTACACGGCCCCTCTATCCCGACGCAGCTCAGAGGCAAACGACGTTAGTTCTTCACTCAAGGGCACCGCAGGCACCAAAGTGCGGCCGTCCCCCGGGTCCGGGCGCCTTCCGAGCAGATACACCCCTTCCACTTCCGCCCCGTCCCCGCCCCGTCCCCGCCCCCGCGGAGTTCCCGCATCCCCGACACAGGGCGCACGACCCTGTCTCCGGGATCTGAAGGGCCAGGTCTGACTCAGCCCCTCTCCCACCCAGCGAGCAGGGAGAGACCACGGAGGCTGGGCCGGGGCCTGGCAGCCGGCGGCAGGGGAGTGGGGGGCTTC